GGCATGCTCTCCATCAATATGCCCCAAAGTATGCTCGCCCGTGTACGCTTGTTCGCGCCGACGAAAGCGATCCACAGCTCAACGTGCGTGACCCAACGCGCGTAACAGCTTGCGCTGCAGCAACAAGAGGGCACGCACACGCATGCACTTGACGTGTTTCTTCTTTCTTTGGCTGGCTGGTTAGCGCTGCCGACGCAACTTACACATCGCCAAAACACACTAAACACACACACACACACAACTACGTCTGTTCATTAGTTCGACGGTTAACGCGGCGGCCGGTGCTACAACGAAAGACTCACGGCACACGTACACATTGCTGCGAAAAAAAACAGTCCTCAGCAGCACCAACGAAGGACTGACCTCGATCAACACCGGCGGCACGTTCTCTCCCCCGGCAGTGATGATGAGCTCCTTGATGCGTCCCGTGATTCGCATGAAGCCGCTGCAAACCGTGGTATAACGGAAGCGAGAGAGCGAGGGCGAGAGAGGGCGAGAGAGGGCGAGAGAGGGCGAGAGAGAGAGAGAGAGAGAGAGAGAGAGAGAGAGGCAAACAGAGACACACAGACAGACAGACAGACAGACAGACAGACAGGCCGCACAAACAAAAACCCGGCGGACCATGAAGAAAGAAAGCGTCCATCAGAAAAAAACAAAAGGCGAACCAACAAACGCGATCGGATCACGGGCGGCACGCAGCCATGACAGGTTATCTTTCTCGTCAGCCAGAGATACGCGCTGCTTCTTCTATCCCATGCACACAAGTGTTCCGTTAATATGCACGTCATGGGAAACAACGGAAGGACGCCGATCCTTGGGGTGAGTTGCCATCAACAACAACGATTTCACGTGCCCCCTCGGCTACCCCGCTTCTTAGCTTCCATCGCTACCAAAGTAGCGAGTTTCCGAGCTTTATGGCCGAACCGAGACAGGGGAACGCACAAAGCACGTGCCTATCTAACGATGGGACTTGTGGGGTCTCTGAGAGGGAGGGAGGGAATTCTCGAAACTGAAAACACAAGAAGCGATGATAGTTCACACGGGAAAATAGATTCACTGTTTCAATAATCGGTTGTTTTGGGCTGTTCAATTCTTCCGAGAAAACACACACGCAGCACACGGAAAAAATTGCAGTGCAGTACGACTGAAACATCATTGTTGCATCACCAGAAATCAGACTCCCCCCTCTTTCTTTCACGTGTGCATCGCACACAATACCCACGCCTGAACTTCACACAACATGTTGCTTCCAAACCAAAAACGAGAGACCACGATCAACTCCATTCAACTTCAAATACCTGGGCCCCGTACCCACCGCAAAAACGCATGCGGTGCCCAAAGGAAACAAACAAACAAAAAATCTCGATGAACACAATTGAGCCTAAACATGTATACCTGGGCCCCTCGACCCCTCGGGTCCCCAGCCTGGTTAACACGAAAGGCGAGAGGGAAGAACCCCCAAAAAACAGAAAGCAAGATGAACACACTATTAACAATGAACGTACCTGGGCCCCTCGATCCTGGGGTCTCCGTCCTCGTCGAACGTGGCTACATCTCCGCTGTGCATCCAGCCGTCCTCGTCAATCGTCTCCGCCGTCTTCTCGGGGTTGTGCATGTACCTTTTACGGGTTGATTTAGGCAGAAAACGAAAAGAAGGTGAGCTACGGTTGTACGTGTACCTTCTTTGGGTTATTTCAGGCAGCATACGAAAGGAAGGCGAGCAAAGTTTGTGAACGTACTTTTTTGGGGGTTACGGGGGGGGGGGGGCGCACATTTGTTGTTAAAACAATGGGCCCCAAGGGTTTT